AAGGGGAGAAAGTCGGTCTCCAGCAGCAGAGCGGTGTAGTTAAAGGGGAGACAGTCGGTCTCCCCCTCCAACAACCAGGCTTCAACCAGGCTACCCTCCCAGTAGAGCTGGCAACAGGGCAGAGTGCCGCTGGTCTCTGCCCACACAGCAACCCACCCAGTCAGCGTACCCGTACCCAGCACAGCCGTGGTGAGGCACCTGGACATGGACAAGCTTCTCCTTTACCCAGGTGTAGTAACCATTTATTGTGGGTGGGCTGTGCTGTTGATTATGTTTTGTGGGTGGGCTGCTGGACTAACAAGGGCACTGACCGGCAGGAGGTCAGATACCCTGTTAGTCTGTTTGGAAAAGGGGAGAGATGTGACGAGACCAATCTCGCCACATTGCATTGGAGAAGCCTGGTTGCTCGCCTGCTGCCTTTGGACTATGGCCCCCTTTTAAAAGACTTTATTTTTGCCTGCAGAAAAGCTGTATTCGTGCTTTTCTGCCTGGGGTTCAGTAGATTTGTTTGAATGTGTTATACCCCAGATAAGAATCCCATGGAGCCCATTTGTATGAAACTGACTGTAAAGACTTTGGCTCCATGGCGATTAAACTGTATTCGTGTGGTCTGAGCGCCATTCGCTTAATAATGTGCGCTCGGACCTGAGCTATCTGGGGATATGTTACATGTCTGTGTTTTATGTAATAAATGTGACTTTATGTATTTTAAAGTGTTTTGTGTCTTTTTGCAACCATGTGCTTAATGGAGTCTTGTGTCTGTCCTGGGAGATAATTGAATTACTCTCCAGGATAGAAGACTCTGAAACTGGTTTGGGCCAGAAAGCCATGCTTCATTTAGTCACAAAGGACTTTTTACTAACTTTTGAACCCCTTGTCTGATTTGTGCCATTTTTGAATATGTTGTTCCCCTGAATGGATTGATTGTGCATATGTAATTTTATGTGAATGTGATGTATGGTTTTAGAGTTATCAAAGCTGGGTAGAAAGTATGTTTTAACTGTATGTATAATTGAGTTTCCTCTCAGGATAAGGGGAGGGAATATGTGGGATGTAACTGTGATGTGATTGGTTGTTTTATACCTCCCTGTGGGCGGTCCTGTATTTGCAAGACTGTAATAAAAACCAGGCTGGGTGTGCCAGCACCTCAGACCACTGCTTGACCCTCAACACGGAGCCTTGTCTCGTTCTTGGGGGGATTCACTGTATGCTGTTAGAGATTGATTGCCAGGAGTGTAAGCGGATTGTCTGCTTTTCCTGTTCGTCTGCTAGCAGCTATTTGGGAGGTTCCAGTTCGGGAGTTGGAGTGCTATTTTGTATCCAGTTTGGGAGTTTGATGTTCTGCAGTAGCTGTGCCTGTATCTCTGGAAAGGGGGCTGATCGCCTAAACGGTTTTTACCCCTTGTGTGCAAACCGGTCCGTTACAGTGACCATATGGTCAGAGGCGGCTCTCTAATTAGGCGGTTTAGGTGGCTGCCTAAGGCCTCGCGCTGGCTGGGGCCTCGCGGCGCCTAAACCACCTGTGGGCAGACTGTGTCAGGTCCTCAGTCAGTGATCGTGGACCTGACACTAGGAGGGGGCCCGGCGGCTTGCCCGGTATGCCGCCGGGTGCGAGGCCCCTCCTGGCTGCCCGGCCAGCCACCGCAGACACTGGTCTGCAGCTCCGCAGTGAGCAGAGCTGCAGACCATGTGTCTCGCGAAAACCAGCCAATCAGAGCATTGCCGCAGGTTACCACGGCAACGCTCTGTCATCTCGCGGAGCTGCAGACTGCAAGCAATGGCCACCGGACCACCAGGGAGCCCACTGGACCACCAGGGAGTAAAGGTAGGCTCTCTCTCATCCCCCTCAGCCTCACCACCACCCAACCAGCCTCAGCCTCACCACTCCCCACACCACCCTCAGCCCCCCCCACCCCACCCTCACCCCCCACCCCACCCCTCACTACCGCCCCCACACCACCCCCACCACCCCTCAGCATCACCAACCCCACCCCCCTCAGCATCACCCCCGCACCGGCCTCACCACCCCCAACCATTCTCAGCCTCACCCCCCGCACCGGCCTCAGCATCAACCGCCACCACCTCCAGCCTCACCATTCCCCACCATCCTCACCATCAACCCCTCCTTCTCCCATCCCCCTTTCACTCTCACATCATCCCCCCCTTCACTCTCACATCACTCCCCCTTGACTCTCACATCACCCCCCACACCATCACCTCCCTGTTACCATCACCCGCCTATCCTTCTCACCATCACCCCCCCATACACACAACACACTTCAAGCAGCTACCCCATACACATAGGGTCTCAGACAAAAACGCAAACATGCTCACAGAGACATACATTCACACACAAGGATACTCTGTCAGACACACTCTCAGGCACATACATAGGTAAACTGTGCATCAATGTGTATATGTGACACTTTTTTGTTAGTGGGGCCTCATGTTTGAGTTTCGCCTAAGGCCACATAAAGTCTAGAGCCGCCTCTGCGAATGGTAGCTCAAGAATGAGAATTACCCCCATGATGTCATACCATTTGCAAAAGTAGACAACCCAAGGTATTGCAAATGGGGTATGTTCAGTCTTTTTTAGTAGCCACTTAGTCACAAACACTGGCTAAAATTAGCATTCAAATTAGTTTTTTGCATTTTTCACACACAAACAAATATTAACGTTAACTTTGGCTAGTGTTTGTGACCAAGTGGCTACTAAAAAAGACTGGACATACCCCATTTGCAATACCTTGGTTGTCTACTATTTCAAATGGTATGCCATCATCGGGGTGTCAGGATTACAGAATGATCCAGCACACAGAATTGTGTAACACAGAGGACTAATATGTAACCTATACCGGACCTTAGGATGGCCGGACTAACGTACCAAAGAATAGTCAGGAATAGCCGTGTCAGAAAGAGACACAACGATTAGGAAAAGCCAGGAGTCAGGGATGCCAGAAAACAGGGCAGTTCAAATCAATGCCAAAGTAAAATAACCAGAATCAATAACGCGCTCTCGGACAACTACAAGGGAAACCTCGACAGGGCACTGAGCAGAATGAGAACTGGGCCTAATTACCCCTCCTCTAGATCTGATAGGCTCTAACCGGCCTTTGACCCCAAAGCAGTTACCAGGTTTCCATTTGCATAATTGCTGCTCAGCATTAACACTTCTGTGGATTTGGTTGCTGCTCAGCACAACTTTTCCTGTGTGGACAGTAAATGTAATTAACCACATTTTTACAAGTGGATGAATACGTGACAGGGGGTAATTCTCATTCCTGGGCTACCATACAGTCTTAAATGCAATGTAACCAATCTGGCGAATTTTAATGTGAAAAAACTGAAAAGTGTAACGTGTTATATTTGACCCTGTAACTTCCCAAAACACCATAAAACCTGTACATAGGGGATACTGTTTTACACGTGAGACATCGCTGAATACAAATATGTGTATTTTATTGCAGTAAAATCAGTATTTTGACATTTTCATTTTTTTTTTATATTTTATTCATATTAAATTATGTTCCATACCTAAATATTTGATGTTAAATCAAAGCCCTGTTTCCCCTGAAAAAAAATGATATATAATAAGTGTGGGTGCATTTAATATGAAAGAGGTGAATTACGGTTGGACAGACATATAGCGCAAATGCCAGGTTTTGTTTTGATCACAACTCGTACATTGGGCTGCGGTCTTAAGGGGCTAATGGAATATTATAAGAAATAGTCCGTTCACGTACTTCAAAAGCCCATTTTGAGGGGGTTGAGCCTAGCAGCCAAGCCAAATGGCCGCACATCAGAAGAGCTCCTCACTGAAAAAGCTTGAACTAAACTAAAAATCGACACTGAGCCCCAAATTTGCTTGCCTTTCAATCTTCGAGACGGAGACTTACCACGGAGACAAAGCATACACAAGAACGCGGTCGAAAACGGCAAAGACATCCCGGTGGATCGACCTGAAGCCTACAAGCGGCGTACGCAGACAGCACGGGGGAAGCGGACAATCCCTCTGCTGAAAGCAGCCAACATAGTTGGAGGTCTGCCCAACGCAATCCCTCCCCCCCCGGCCGGAGGGGACATCCAGTAACACTGCTCACGACCCGGCGCTGTACAACGTGGTGGACGCCACGTGCCAGCCAGAACACAATCCTCCACTGCCATTACTCTCGGAACGGCTGTACCACCTGCTAGCCGACTTTTGGGCCAAGCTTTCAGCCCACAAGAGGGCTCTAGTGGAGGCACCACCAGCAACATTCCCACAGGTCGCCACGCTACAGCCAGTGGCTCCGGGGGGGGACACCAAACCACAGTCTGGAAGGCGGGAGACCCACTGCAAGCCTCCGCAGGTCAGTAACAGGCCACTAGCGGGGAGACAACTTACCAAATGGCAACAAGCCCTGGGACTACCCGACCAAATGCCCCCTCCCCCCACGGTGTTATGGGCAAATGCAAATATTACAAGTTTTAGAATGAAATGTTGTATTTCTTAAACTGTGTACTTTGTCTTTAAGAGATATTGCAAACTGACAAGGTGTTAGAAATGGAACATGTTGTTTTTCATAACTGTTTCTTTAAGCAATAACCTCAGTTCATAATATGTTTGCGCAAATTTGTCCCAGACGAATTACAATAACAATAATGCATAAACAAGCTTCAAGGCTATGCTATGACTCTTGCAGTACACAATATACTGTGGTAACCCCAAGTTAATGGAACTTCCCCAAATCCGGGAATCTCCCACGACTGTACACTTACGACTTAGTATAAACAACAGATAACCTATTCAGACTTTAAGATGCCATCTTGAACTAAGTCAGGAAAATTTCCATGACGTTTGCACCCTTTAGTTATGGACTTGTATGTTTGCCAAATTAAGGGAGGTCCTAAAATGAATAAAGTAAAAGAAGTGTTACTTTTTCATATTTGAACTACAGTAACCTAAAATGGAGACACCTAAGGTATAAATAGGTGTACTTTTAAATGTTAAGACACAGAGGAGAGACTTGGAGACAGACGCTGCTCCATCTTAAAATGACAGAGAGGCTGACATGATGACATGTTCAGAAGGGTATGTTAACCTATTAATGATATTTGCAAGCATGTAATTTAATCTTATAAACTCTGCTATAATGGATTTTATATTTATATAATAAATATCCAAAAAGACAAAACTTTATTGCTTCCAAGACAATCCTTATGTTATATTGTATTCTCAATTATTTATATATGTTAAATAGAGGATCTCTTACACTATATAAAATTATGGCTAAGATATCTGTATGGTTAGCACTACTAAGTTCTATGCTTTAAAACATTATAGTGGTAAATAAGGGAACCACCTGCGGTTACAACGGAGACCACTACCCATCCTTGTTCGAAGATACCACAGCACAGGCCGTCCAATCCCCAGGCACAACCCAGCCCGATACAGCTACTCACAGACACTGGGACGAGAGGGGGGACCTCCATATACCCATCACAACGCCTCGAAAGAAGCATCCAGCCACCGCAAGCCCCACAATGGACACAAAGCACATTACCAGCTCACCACAAGACAGGGGAACGGGGCCGCTCCGCACCCGGACTTCATCCCGGCTGAGAGAAGGAGGAGCGCCGAGAGGGGGGACCCCCACCGGCTACTGCACCGGGCACCGACGCTGCAACTGATGGGGATTGGTTAATCCAGTCGGCACAGCGGCGAGTTACTCATAAGGGACGCTGCACCACATGCCCAACACAGTATGCACACCAAACCTTGCCTGCACCAGAGCTAGTTATCTTGCTAGCAAGCAACACATCTTAAGCCTAATTAGCAATGCATTACTTTCTAGCACTCATCTCATGTTATTTTATGCTATAACGCTTTAACTAACCCTGTACCTCACCCGTTCCTGACAAGCGACTATAACACATATATTGATGTAATTGCTTATAATGAACCCAATGTAACTAACTGCAGCCATGCACCTAGACACATGAGCATATCCTGTTTTTCACCTTAATATAAAACTGTGCAGCATAATCTAAATGTAGAAACGTAACAGCACCCAATGTTCATAACAATTTATGCCTTGTTGAATGAGCCACTTGTGAATGCTGTTGTCACAGTATACCGTTATGATGTTGAACCACTAATTATTTAAAATGTGCAAATTGTACTCGTGCCATATTCATGTTATACTATGTTTTTACACAAAACGTGCTTGAGAATGCTGTTGTGGCAATTCAAGCATTGCTGTACCTATATGCACAACAAAAATAAAGAATTCAAAAAAAGTCAATTTTGAATATAGATAAAGTGAAAAACATAACGATGCCTACTTTATTCAAAAACTATATAGCTTAAAAACGTATAGCTAAAAAAAAATGCCATAATAAAATACCTTAATACATAAATATGTAAGAATTGACATTTAAAGAAACAGATCATATTTATTGAGAACATATTGCTTAAAATTAAAATCATACTTTAATAAAATGCCGTCACATTAGGAGTATAAAATAAAAATCAACCTTAAAGAGACAATGTCTTTTAAAATGATATACCAAAAAAAAAAAAAAAATGAATGGAAGTCTACTAGAAGGATTATAAAGTCATATACACCATACAAACACCATGGTCCAGTCAATATTATAAAATATATATATATATATATATATATATAATAAAAAACTATATTAAAATGGAGTACTTAATTAAATGTAAAGAAACATTGTATATTGAATCCCCTTGGTTCTAGGAACCCATTGCATCTCTCTCTCTCTGTTTCCTACTAACTATCCCCAGCCAGTCCCTGTTATATATTGAAGGTACAGTCCAGGTAAAATGTTGGCTGTAACAGCACATTCAGCATCAAAGCCTTTTTTCCTTAAGGGTTAATTAAATAGTTTTTCCCCTGACAGTATAAGTAACAGGCAGCCATTAGATTTCAGTCAGTTCGGGCATATTGTGCTGTATGAAAATTCCAATCCTTAATGTCAGTGTCCATTACCCATAATACCCCACGGGATTAAACAGGATCCTGCTTGCCCTCATCCATCATGGCGCCGCAATGCCTGACGTCATTTCCGCTTTATCAGTGCACTCAGTGCAGAGCTGGCTGCTGGGAGCTGAGGGTGAGTCCGGGGTTCATTGTGTTTATTGGGATATTCCTGGATCCAGAGCGATAATAATATCACTAATCAGTCAATTACATTAACATGGGGAGAGAGAGAGAGAGGGGGGAACATGGGGAGAGAGAGAGAGAGGGGGGAACATGGAGAGGGAGAGGGGGGAACATGGAGAGAGAGAGAGGGAGGGGAAGACATGGGGAGAGAGAGAGAGGGGAACATGGAGAGAGAGAGAGGGGAACATGGAGAGGGAGAGAATGAGAGAGGGGGACATGGACAGAGAGAGAGAGAGGGGAACATGGGGAGAGAAAGAGAGAGGGGAACATGGAGAGAGAGAGGGGAACATGGAGAGAGAGAGAGGGAGAGGGGGGAACATGGAGAGAGAGAGAGAGAGAGAGAGAGGGGGGAACATGTAGAGAGAGGGGAACATGGAGGGAGAGAGAGAGAGAGAGGGGGGAACATGGATGTAACAACAAGCCCAGTATGCCTACAAAAGGACAAATGGATTATACAGCCTGTGACGAAGTGTCCTTCGCCACTTGGTCCTGGAGAGGCCTTCTTGCCAGTCTCCTCCCTTGTGACTATGACTCTTTCATTTATCTGGCTTTAAAGCCCCTAGTCTACCTTCAAACAGACTTTTTATGTGGGCTGCTTTATTTATCCTATGTTTTAGTCACCCTGTACCCATTATAGGTGCAGGGTGTGTGTAATGTAATTGTTTATAGTGTGTGTGTGTACTGTGTAATGTATTGCCTGCTCTCTTGTATTGCTGAGGTTTGCTACCAACTAGGTGGGTTTGGCTATGGAGCTGGTCTAGTGCCCTCTGTTGGTAGCAACAGAAATATGCACTACCTGAATTGCAAGACTGGTTCATTTGCATATTTGGGTAGATTTGCATATTGCTAATTCTGCAGGCAGGTGAGATATTAACTGTGAAATATTGTCTCCCCCACCCCTTTAAAAATGTGCCATTGTGTTGTGATAAGTCACTGTGTGTTTCTTGATATGGTTTGACTGTTTGTGATATTATTGAGGTTTCACAACAATGTTATTGTGGTGACTGTATTGGCTGGTCCCAAGGGAATAAAGGTTTTGACAGTTCTTCTTGACCCTTCAAAATGTAGCCTTGTCTCGTTCTTGAAAGGGGAATCTCTGCAGCTTAATCACTTAGCTCTTTTCAGAGCTGCACCTGGTTTCCACTCCTGATCCAGCAGAAGGGAATAGGCGACTCCATCACTACACAGCGACTGCCAGGAAGAAAAGGACGTCCCTAACGGCTGGTACCCTCTCTACACCAGGGTAGCCGTTACATTGGTGGCAGCGGTGGGATGGTCCTTTCATCCACAGCGCAGATGCTGGATGGAGTCTCAATACACTAAATTGAAGAGACCTACCCTAAAGGATCTACTGGAGAACTGGGGAAGGATTGCCAGTAACAGACCACGGAGAGAGCTGATCGCAGACCTACTAGAGCTGGACGAAATGGACCGGTCCATGGACGTAACAGAGACACAGAGGCCAGACAGCGAGGAGGACGAGGTCACCCGCATCGTACAGAGGAGACTGGCCTTCTATCCAGAGACATCAGTGGAGCTGATTGAGCGGCTGTTCCTCGATGCCAAAGCAGATATCCGGGAGAGGAGGGGGCACGAAATCGAACTGGTAAGAGCTCAGCAGCCCATTACACATGCAGTTCCTACCTCCCTTCCGCCTACTACCCCTAAGAAAGTGCCATTTACTGCGTTCAAGGCGTTTGTCGAGAATGAAGAGGAGATCGATGGATATTTAGCCGATTTCGAGAGACAGTGCTCTTTACACCAGGTACCCCCTGACCAATGGGTTACCATCTTAGCTGGGAAGCTGTCCGGCAAGGCTAACGAGGCCTTTCGGGCCCTCACCGCAGAGGATATTACACAGTACCAGCAGGTCAAAAAGGCCCTGTTAGCCCGTTATGCTGTGACGCCAGAAGCATACCGCCGACGGTTCTGTGAGTCTAAAAAGAAAGCCGTGGACTCGCACATGGAATGGGCCAACCGTCTACAGAGAGTAGCCTCCCACTGGGTCCAAGGATGTAACGCCAGTACAGGGGAGGAAGTCCTGCAACTTTTCTTAATGGAACACTTCTTCCAGGACTTAGCAGCTGATCTACAGGACTGGGTAAGGGATCGACGACCCAGCAACTTAAAAGAGGCGGCTCGGCTCGCGGACGAGTATGCCGAAACAAGGAGAGTTAGTCAAGGCTCTCACCGCACAACCAGCAGGCCGGAACCACGTACCCCAGCCAGCAATTTTCGCCCGGAGTTCCGTGCTCCCGTACCACCAGGGCCCCCTCACCCAAAGGGGTCCCCCAGCTACCCAAGAGATGTATCTCGGATGGCGTGCCATCGCTGCAACAACCTGGGGCACATGGCCCGTAACTGCCCCCTGGGGTCAGCAGCCAACAACTGGCGACGACCCTCACCACCTACAGAGACCGCATCACCCCGCACTCCTTTTTCGTCCCCACGTACCTCAGCCGCCCATTGCCTGGAGACAGAGGTGGGTCCCGAGGAATGCCTGGGTATTTTGTATGAGGCGGACCCGATACAAGCTGCCTCCCCAGTTAATCGACAACACCATCGACAAGAAGTGCGGGTGAACGGACAGGTGGCGCAAGGATTAAGAGACACTGGGGCCACCATTACATTAATGCAGAGACACCTGGTGAAGCCTGAACATTTGTCCAACCGAATTGTGGCTGTACGAGTTGCTGGAGGAGCTGTGTTCCGTTTACCCACTGCTAGGGTACACCTGGATTGGGGAGTCGGGTCTGGGAAGACCACTGTGGGCATCATGGATAATTTACCCGCAGAAGTCGTACTAGGCAATGACATTGGCCCGCTTGCATCAGCGTATCTACCTACGACTGCTGCCGCCTGCCCAGTGACTACACGTTCCCAGGCGTATGCTGCCGATGACCCTGCACCAGGACGGGAGACCCAGGTAAGCCACGACCCAGCCCCTAGGCCAGACCCCATAGAGAGACCCTTAGCTTGGGATACCCCCGAAGCATTTGGGAGGGAGACACGAGCAGATCCTACCCTCCAAAAATACAGGGAGCTTGCCGATAGTGGGGGGAGTGAGAAGGAACGTTTTATCTGGGATAATGACCGACTGTATAGATTGACAGAAGGGAAAAAGACAGGCAGTGTCCCATCACAGAAGCGCCAACTAGTGGTACCCAGAAAGTACCGGTTGGAACTTCTGCGAATCGGACATGATATTCCCTTGGCAGGACATTTAGGAGGTAACCGCACTACCTACCGGATTACCCAGACCTTCTTTTGGCCGGGAATCTCAAAGGACGTGCAACGTTACTGTAGTACTTGTGACGTGTGTCAACGAGTAGGGAAGCGAGGGGACCACCTGAAAGCCAGACTGTTACCCATGCCAGTAATCGAGGAACCATTTAGCCGGGTGGCAGTCGATCTGGTGGGGCCCTTGCCGAATCCCAGTCCCTCCGGTAAGAAATATATTCTTACCGTAGTGGACTACGCTACCCGCTACCCGGAAGCCGTCGCGCTGACGAATATCCAGGCCGACACTGTCGCCAGTGCCTTGGTCGGGATATTCACCAGAGTGGGGTTTCCACAAGAAATTTTGTCTGACCGAGGGACGCAATTTACCGCAGATCTGACCCAACAGTTATGGAAGGTCTGTGGTATCAAGACCCTGTTCAGCTCGCCATACCACCCCCAGACTAACGGGCTCTGTGAACACTTTAATGGTACCCTAAAACAATTATTACGGACCTTTACGGCGGAATACAGAGACTGGGAGCGATTCCTACCGCACCTCTTGTTTGCCTACTGAGAAGTGCCGCAGGAATCCACGGGGTTCTCTCCGTTCGAGTTGCTCTATGGACGACAGGTGCGAGGCCCCCTCGACCTCATCCGAGAGCACTGGGAAGGAGAGACGGAACACGAGGGTGTCCCGATTGTACCATATGTTCTGGAGATGAGAGACCGCATGGAACAGTTAGCTCGGATGGCTAGAGACCACCTACATGCGGCCCAGGGTCGACAGAAGAGATGGTATGATAGGGGTGCCCGCCATAGAACCTTCCAGGTGGGGCAGAAAGTGCTAGTGCTCAGACCAGTAAA